TTCTGTGGACCTGGTCAAAAGCCATTGGATGGGGAAGTCACAGGACCTAAGGGCACCTCCTACGCTTCATTTTATTAAATGGACATGTTGTAAACTGTCTGACAAATTTGTTTACACTCACAGGTTCGTGCTGTCCTCAGCCTTGATCAAAGCAGTTTCTCTTTGCAGCACGACGTCTAGTGAGAGACACTGTCAAGGTGTTGAGGATTAATGGGATACTGGTATCACTCCCTAGAAGGATCCTAGCATATCACAGAAGGGCCTGAAAGAATTTAAGAGCCCAAATGGATGGTCATAACATGGTTGAAGTGCTCAGAACTCAAACTAGCTGCAGTTACCCAAAGAGAGTTTGACCAAGTGTGAGGTAGTTAACATTATAGATAGGGGAGGTACTTATGTGGCCCATCCCACTCAGAGAAGCTCATGGCTGTGGGAGGAGAGGAAGCCATTGTCTTCAGTGATGCAGCCACTGGTGAGTTACCTATGCTCCAGTGGATAGCATTTCATACGTGCTCACAGGACAAGCCCTGGTTAAACCTAGTGGGTCTGAGTCACAAAGCAAATACAAAACAAAAAGACATGAACTGAGGACCTGATGGAGGAAGGATGTGGGGACTGGCAGGGTAGGAAGAGGGAAAGAGGATGGAGGGTGAGTGTGACCAGAATATTATATTCATACATAAAACTGTCAAAGAATTAGTTGAAAAGCTAACAAAGAAAACCGGGTGTGGTGATGTGTGTCTGATTCCAGCTCCTAGGTTGTGAAGAAAAGATAATCCTGAGCTATAAGAGACCTGGTTTCAAAAAGGGGGGTAGGTGGCTGGAGAGATGGCTCAGAGGTTAAGAGCACTGGTTGTTCTTCCAGGGGTCCTGAGTTCAATTCCCAGCAACCACATGGTGGCTCACAACCATCTGTAATGAGATCTGGTGCCCTTTTCTGGCCTGGAGGTATACATGCATACAGAACACTGTATAGACAATAAATAAATAAATAATATTTTTTTTTTTTTTGGTTTTTCGAGACAGGGTTTCTCTGTGGCTTTGGAGCTCGTCCTGGAACTAGCTCTGTAGACCAGGCTGGTCTCGAACTCACAGAGATCCGCCTGCCTCTGCCTCCTGAGTGCTGGGATTAAAGGCGTGCGCCACCATCGCCCGGCAAATAATATTTTTTAAAAAAGGCAAGGAACCAGTATAAAAATAGATACAGAGACAAATTAAATGGACAGAAAGGCACACACAAAATTAACACACATGGTTAAGACACCCACAAGATTCCTTCCTTGAGGCTTTGTTATGGTGAGCACATTACAAAGAACAGCAGGTTGACCAGTCATAAAAATACTGCTTTCAGGCCACCAGCATGACATCTGATAAAGGTGCCAAGAACAAGCAGAAGATACAGTCACACCAATAGACACTGCTGGCAAAACTGGATAAACTTATGTGAGAGAATTATGCTGAATTATATCCTCTAAACATATGCAGAAATCAACTCAAAATGAGCCAAAAAGACTAAACAGGGCCTGATGTGCGGCTCAGGTGGCACAGTGCTCACCTAGCATGCATGCACGAAGCTCAAGGGCTTGATCTCTGGCACCAAATAAACTGGTTGGGGTGGAGCACACCCATGACCCTAACACTTGGGAGACAGAGGTACAAAGACTACAAGCTCATAGTGGATTCCGGGCCATTCTGGGATACAGGAGTTCCTGTGAAGAAAGCAAAAGAAAGAGAGGGAGAATGGAAGAAAAAGAGGGGCAAGCTGAAATGTAAAACCTGAAACCTGCCAGGTTACTGGTGGTGCACACCTTTAATCCCACTCTGGAGACAAAGGCAGGCAGATCTCTGTAAGTTCCAGGCCAGCCTGGTCTACAGAATGAGTTCCAGGAGGGCCAAGACTACACAGAGAAACCCTGTCTCAAAAAACAAAAACAAAACAACAACAACAGAAACCCTGAAACACTGAGCAGCAAGACGACATGGGGAAACACTTCAAGGCATTGGCGTGGAGCGGCAGGTCTCAGCCAGTGAGTCAGGAACCCTCTGGGGTCAAATGACCCTTTCACAAGGTTGCATTTTAGATATCCGCAGTATCAGGTATATTTACATCACAACTCATAGCAGTAGCAAAATTACAGTTATGAAGTAGCAATGAAATAATTTTATGGTTGGGGTCACCACAACATGAGGAACACATGGGTCACAGCATTGGGAAGGTTGAGAACCTCTGCTCTGGACAATGATTTCTTTCCTAAGAAGCCTTCTCAAAGACTTGGGCGAGTAAAAATAGAACAAGTGTCTATCAAACTACAGAGGTAAGACAAAGACTGTGGAACCTGAAAAAGACACCTGTAAACCATTCATCTGATAAGGGCTTAAATTTTGAAAACATATGATGATCATACAATGCTGAACACTAAAACCAAATTAATCCAAATTTTACAATGGGCTAAGGAATCCAAGAGACACTTCTTCCAGAGAACACACAGTTGTGTGTGTAGCTCTGAGGCAGTGTTTGCACAACACATACAAAACATACATTTGATTTTCAGTATGAAGGATCTGGAGGAGTAAAAGAAGGAGCTAGGGCACATGGTAATGGGCCAGAGACTGTAGTGCCTGAAACCTCAGCACTTGAGGCACAAGCAGGGGGCCAGGGGATATTTTTCCTTTTCTCTTTCTTTCTTTCTTTCTTTCTTTCTTTCTTCCTTCATTCCTTCTTTCCTTCCTTCCTTCCTTTTTTCCTTCCCTCCCCTCCCTTCCTTCTGCCTTTCTTTTCTTTTTCTTTTTTTTTTGTTGCTTTTCAAGACAGGGTTCCTCTGTGTAGCCCTGGCTGTCTTGGAACTCACTTGCTCTGTAGAGCAGAATGGCACCAACTTACAGGGATGCACCAGTCTGCGCCTCCTGAGTGTTGGGATTAAAGGAATGTGCCACCACCCCTGGCTGAAGCAGGGGGATTTCTAATTGGAAGACACCCTGGACCACAATGGTTATTTCCAGGCTAACCTGTGATTCATCCTGAGATATCTCAAAAGACAAACATTCTACCCAACAAAACCTTCAATCACCAATAAATGTATGAAACAGTGCCCAACCACAGTGGTTATTGAGGCGTTAGAGATCAAATCAGGAGACCAAAACCAAACACTCACATAATGGGAAGGGAACTCGTACACATTGTTGAAGGGGATGTGACTAGCACTGCCATTACAGAAAACCCTATGTAGAGTCCTCACAAAACACAAGGATAGGATCTATAAAAGATCTAGCAACTCCACAATTGGTTGTATTTCTGAAGGTGGACGATTATACCTTAGATATACAGCCAGCCTACTCATCTGCTATAATGTAGAGGGAACTGGAGGTCACACCAAGTGAAGTAAGTCAGACAGCAAGAGAAATAACATGTGTGTTAATCCTCTGCAGAAACTGAAAAGTTTAATTTTGCTAAAGAGCAGAGTGAGTGGTGGTCACCTGAGTCTGGGTGGTGGTCACCTGAGTCTGGGTGGTGGTCACCTGAGGCTGGGTGGTGGTCACCTGAGGCTGGGTGGTCACCTGAGGCTGGGTGGTGGTCACCTGAGGCTGGGTGGTGGTCACCTGAGGCTGGGTGGTCACCTGAGGCTGGGTGGTGGTCACCTGAGGCTGGGTGGTCACCTGAGGCTGGGTGGTCACCTGAGGCTGGGTGGAGGATAGGGAGTAGAAAACAGTTCAGTAAGATTCACAAACACAGAGAATTGCTTCTAGTTTCGTTCCGGGTTTTGGCAGCACTGTGGGTAAACTGTTAAAACAATGTAATACTCTCCAAAGTTAGTCAAGAAGTATGATATCCCTGACATATACCGGCTAGAAATACTCCTTACTTTAATTACTGTGCATTGTTTACACATACAGAATGAATGCAATGCATCCCCTAGGGATACACAGATATATCGTGTGAAAACTTAGTGTGTGTCTGCACGCATATTTGCATGAGATCACGGGACTCTTGTGCATAGAGGCTAGAAGAAAGGCTCACACAGGTAATCCCATCAAATGTCAGGACCAGGACGAAGATTAAGAGTTTCAGGATAGCCGGGGCTATCAGCAACACCCTGCCACATAAACAAAGAAGCACATACAATCCACACATAACCCTAGAGGATCAATGTATCAGGTGACTATCAAGAGGGTGACGCCTTAGAGATGCCAGCCACTGTGGACACAAACACACATATGGGGAGGGTACCATGCCATTGTCCACGGCCTCTGAGAAGCCAAATCTAGAGATAGGAAGGGTGACTACTGTCTTCCCCACAGGCTGAAACACACAGTTAAGGGAGTCAGCTCACTGGCCTGATCTAACAGCCTGGTCTCCCCTCTCTGAGTGCGTTAGGATGCGCCTGTCTATTGAACAAGGACTTTAGAGGTCAGGACACAGATAACAGTGTGTGCACCTAAGGTATCTCCAGGATACCTGATCTGGAACATCTGGGGTTGGCTGAGCAACTGACAACAGGAAGGGTGGGAGAGCCGTGGGGGAGGGGTGTTCCGTATGGCCCTGCTGAGTGAGCCGTGGAGATGTTATATCCTCTTTCAAGGTAGTCTCATGTTATAGAGTTCAGAGTCTGTCACGGTACATCTCTCCATCTTGTCAAAGGAACTGATCGATGGAGCACTAGAGCTGACTCTGAAAGAAGCCACCAATAATGGAAGCGATCTGAAAGGGCACAGAGGTCAGAGACACCAGGACGAGACCCAGTTAGCAAGCTAAGTTCACAGAGGTGGGAAGTAACCACTACTTAACTACCCAGTGTAGCTGGGGGGTAATAGCAGGGGCTCAGTGTCGGGGAGAGTGGCTGCCACCACTGCTGCTTAATACACAGACCCATAGCATCAACCGATTCAGGAGAGCCATGGTAGACAGGTCACAGTGATATACTCAGCCTCCTCTTTCACTTCCAAGTAAACCCTAGGTAGCTTTGTATAAAGGTTGCAGGAGCATTTTAGACTTGGGCTCCCAGATGGAGAGGCTAAGGCTGGGGCAAATGTCAGAACATTTGTGTGTCAGGCTGGTGGCCATGTTGCTCCTGGTTCTGTTAATTTTTCTTCCAAGTACATTCTGTGACATAGGATCTGTATATTCCTCTTCCTTTGAAACGGTCATCCCCAAGAGACTGCCAGTCAAGGGGAGTGAAGATCCCGGAGGAAGGGTGTCCTACATGCTGTTGATGCAGGGCCAGCAGCAGCTGCTTCACCTGGAGGTAAAGGGAGACCATTCTGCGAGTAACTTCCCAGTCTACAGTTACCACAATGGCGTCCTGGGGCAAGAAATGCCTCTCCTCTCACAGGACTGCCATTATGAAGGTTACATGGAAGGGGTGCCAGGCTCCTTTGTCTCTGTCAACATCTGCTCAGGCCTCAGGGGCATCCTGATCAAGGAGGAAACATCCTACAGCATCGAGCCTGTGCTCTCCTCCAAAGAGTTTGAACACATCCTGTACACTGTGGCACATCAGCCCCGCGTCTCCTGCAGTGTCATTCCCAAAGACAGCCCAGGGGACACTGGCCAGCAACAGAGGAGCAGGAGACCCGATGACCTGCGGGAGCTGTCTGACTTGTGGTCACACACCAAGTACGTGGAGATGTTCGTCGTGGTCAACCACCAGCGGTTCCAGATGTGGGGCAGCAACGTCACCGAGACGGTCCGGGCAGTGGTGGACATCATTGCTCTGGCCAACAGCTTCACTAGGGGACTAAACACAGAGATGGTGCTGGTGGGCGTGGAAGTCTGGACAGAGGGGGACCTGATAGAGGCCCCGGTGGACCTGCAGGCTACACTGAGGAATTTCAACCGCTGGAGACAGGAGGAGCTCCTGGGCCGTGTCAGGCATGATGTGGCACACTTGATCGTCGGGCATCACCCAGGAGAGAACGAGGGCCAGGCGTTTCTCGATGGTGCCTGTTCTGGTGGGTTTGCAGCGGCTGTGGAGGCCTTCCATCATGAAGATGTCCTGCTGTTTGCGGCGCTTGTGGCCCACGAGCTGGGGCACAACCTGGGAATCCAGCACGACCACCCAGCCTGCTCCTGTGACCCTAAGCACTTCTGCCTCATGCACGAGGATATCACCAAGGACAGTGGCTTCAGCAACTGCAGCTCTGACGACTTCTACCGTTTCCTCCATGACCACAGAGGGGCCTGCCTGCTTGACAGGCCTTGGCACCAAAGCCGCAAGCGCAGAGCTGCCCGTTGTGGAAACGGTGTGGTGGAGGAGTCGGAAGAGTGTGACTGTGGTAACAGCTGCCACAGTAACCAATGTTGTGATGAAAACTGTAAATTTAAGCAGGATGCAGAGTGTAATAATGAGCTTTGCTGTTTTCAATGTAAATTTAAAAAGAAGGGACAGGTTTGTCGTCCTGCTGATGGAATTTGTGACCTGGCAGAATACTGTAATGGGACCTCTGCAATATGTCCTGAGAACAGGATAGTGAAAGATGGCTCTTTATGTCATGAAGCTTACTTCTGCTTTGAGGGTCAGTGCCTGGACCCTAGCTCTCAATGCTCACGTATTTTTGGGTTTGGTGCAAAATCTGCCTCTGATGAATGCTACAGTTCCGTGAACAGCAGAGGGAACCGGTTTGGAAATTGTGGGCCTTCTTCTGAGTCTCCAGGAACATATATCAATTGTTCAGATCAAAACAGTCTGTGTGGGAAACTTACATGTACAGAGTTACAGTTCTTACCACCAATCAAACAGAAACATACACTGATCCAAATCCCTCACAAAGTGAACTGGTGCTGGAGCATGGATGCTCCTGGTGATGAGACAGACATCCCTGGCAGAGGCTATGTGAAGAACCTGACCAACTGTGGCTCAAATAAGGTGTGTCAGAATTTCATCTGTGAAGACAGCGACACGTTCTCCACCTACCCTTCCTGCAGTAAGGAACTGTGTAGTGAACATGGAGTTTGTAATGATTTAGGGCACTGCCATTGTTCATACGGCTTTGCACCCCCTGACTGCAGACATAAAGGAACTGGAGGCAGTGTGGACAGCGGTCCCACTCCCGAACTATCAGATGAAAATCCTCCAGAAGCTGAGAGTCAAAATCCTGAAGATGAAGGTAAAGAGTTGGTACTTAACTTAAAACTGATAGTTCTTTCTGCTATTTTGATACTCACAATACTCTTTATAATTGTATGCATCATGATTGCGTACAGCAAGTCAGAGACTCCTTATGAAGTAGAGCCTTCAGAGTTAGAGAAGGTTCCGGAAGAGGCTGACAAAGAGGAAGAGAAGGAAGAGGAAGAGAAGGAAGAGGAAGAGAAGGAAGAGGAAGAGAAGGAAGAGGAAGAAGAGGAAAAGGAGGAGAAAGAAACAGAAGAGGAAGAAGAGGATGAGGGAGAGGAATAAGTAGGGGGAACATAAAGCCAACCCAACAGCGAGGCCTCTTGCAGCCCTGAGAATAAGAGGCTCAGTAAAGCAAAGGCTGCACAAACTGCCAGCTGTGATCCCTCCCTGGGACTCCAGGGCCTACGGATACACTTGCGAGTGAGGCAGGAGGCTCTGTCTTTACCATTTAGTTGATGGGTGTTTCCATAGTCAGTATTTCAGTACTCTAGTTTTCATGTTTCATTTGAACTTGTCACATATATCTTTGGACATTCAGGTTCTTGTATCTTTGGGCTAATTCTTTTGGTCACCAGAAACTGTATTTTAGGACATGCTTTCTTCCACATCGATTGTCTGGTGCTCCTGAATTTATCACTATCTCCAGGATTTTTATTCCAACTAACAACTACCTATTATGTAAGGGCAATTTCCACAAGATTCAGTGTTCTGACTTGCCCAAAAATATATTCAATGGATGAATCTTTAAATAAAACTCTTAACATTAGATATGCCTTCGGGTTCCATGTAATGTATTTATTGAGTATGTTCAGTTCTGTAGCTGTGTGGTAAAGGCTGTACCTCATAAGGAAGAAGGCCTAACTTTGAATCTTGAGTTAAGAAGTCAGCATTACAGACATCAGCCACATCCCCAGGACAAAGAGTGCTTGCTGTACAGTCATTAAGTTCAGATTCCCGCACTCACCTGACAAGAGACAAGACAGGGATCTTGCACATGCCCATAATCCAAACTGGCAAGACCAGGAGGTTCACTGGGGTTTGATGGTTTCTAGCCCAGAGAATGCAAACTCTAGGTTTAGGGAAAGAATAGACCAAGAATCATAGAGGAGGACACTAAACACCTCTTCTACCCTATATGTAGATGCATAGGCACCCCCATCTGCACATATATGAGCACTACACAATAAACAAACAATCGTATATTGAAGAGGAAGCAGCAGCAACCAGCACTAAGTAAGTATTGATGGTGCTGTTTGCCATATTGCCAGCTTTCTTCAGAAGGCTTAGCAAGGAGACTGAAGTGTAAGGCCAGCCTAGGTTACTTAGCAAGACTTATCCTAAAAACAAAATGAAGCTGAACAGAATTACTTTGTGCTCTGACTGTAGAAAGGACAGCCTTTCTCATAAGTCATCCTGCCATGTGTTTGTAGCATCATGAGGAAGAAGTTCAGTAATTGATGTGTTAATGCTCCTATAGGACCATACTCCTCAACAGAGTCTGGCCATGTCCTGCCACCTTCTCCCTGCCTTCTCTGGGTGCCTCCGGCTAGCCAAGACCCCAGCACTTTCCTTAGTTTCCTAAAGCCAATTCCAGATTCTAGATTTGTCTTCAGACTTGAGAGGAACAAAGGGAAGTTACAGTGTGGAAGAGATGCTGCAGTTAGTGATGCTCTCATGCCCAGGGGTCATGTTGTCCTTGGGGGTCCAGGAGCAGACCCGTCTCTCCTCAGGCTGACCTCACATCTTTTCTCACCCCATTAGTCAAGCTGAGCTCCCTTGTTTGGAGTTCAGTTGAAAAAAATAAATAAAATAAGGTAACTCCAAATTGATACAATTCTGTGCTTGATGAAAACAAAGTGTTACTTTTGTTTGTTTTTGATATAGTGGTTCACACATGTAGCCAAGGGACTGACTTCCAACTACATAGCCTAGGTCAGCCTCAACCTCAAAGTAATCTTTCTAACTCAGCCTCTGGAGTCCTGAGATTACAGGTGTAAGATATAACATGGAGATAAAAGTGCTACATTTATTTGAAAAGGAACATGGCTTACTGTTTCTCCAGATTTCTTCTGAAATGGAATTTTGTCATTATGATTGAGTGGGGAACAGCTCATTCAAGTGTTTTTTCAAAGGGGAAAAACCGTTCTTTTTCCATCAATAGAAAAGAAGTAAAAATAAGCTTTCACCCTGAGTTGAGAACCAGCTTCAAAATTCCCCATATCCTATCAATCATGGCTTCCCTGTGTGTGGGGAGAGGAGTCTTCCACTTCTCTATCCCATAAGCAAATGCCCTGCACCATCTAGAGTATTATTCTAGAAGATGTCACCACTTCTGCAGGGGAAGCACTCCAACACCAGCCTTGATTCTGGGTCTTTGAAGTTTATGGACATAATGAAAGGATGAACTGTAATTAGAGGCATTTCAAAGGCTTATTTGTTTAATCAGAGCTACAGGCAAAAATTGTCTTTAAATAGGAGAACATCTTTTTTTGTGATTTCACTTCATATGAAGGCAAATCTCAAACTCTTCACTTTCCTAGAATGGAGAAGACAGGATTTATAGACTTGACTCAAATTACAGCTGAACTGTTTTTAATGTGGATAGGTAAAATCCATACTTTGTTATGATGTTTACCTGCATTAAAAAAAAAAAAGGATTTTAAGCTGGGTGGTGGTGGTGCACGCCTTTAATCCCAGCACTTGGGAGGCAGACGGGAGGATCTCAGTGAGTTCAAGGCCATCCTGGTTTATAAAGTGAGTTCTAGGATAGCCAAGGCTACACAGAGAAATCCTGTCTTGAAAAAAAAAGAAAGGAAGGAAAGAAAAGAAAGGATTTTAATGTCACAAAAGTTGGGAACACAATGAGGGAAAAAGAATGTGGTTTAAGAATGCTGGAAGGCAACCTCATCTGGAGGGACATGGCCTAGGAAATGTGCTCAGACCAACCATGAGCGTACCTTGTTAAGCCCACACTGAGAACGCACACTCTTATAACACTGGTCTCACCTCTGTGCTCCTTGGATTCTGGATGCTCATCCCTTTATCAAAAGATATCTTCATTTCTCTTGCTCACCATGTCCTGTCTTCCCTTCTGTATTGGCTATAGGTCTCTGAACCCTTGTTCTGCAAATCTCTGTGAACCTATTTCCACATTTTACAAATCCTTTCCATGTTCATATAAATATATATTTGAGGACCATCTTTTATAAATAAGCCTATTATTTTTTCTAAAGTGGGCAACTCACTAAGCCTTATATATCAATGATTTTTTTTCTTGTTTTGTTTTTTGAGACAGGGTTTCTCTATAGCTTTGGAGCCTGTCCTGAAACTAGCTCTTGTAGACCAGGCTGGCCTCAAACTCAGAGAGACCTGCCTGCCTATGCCTCCCAAGTGCGGGGTTAAAGGTTTGTGCCACCACTGCCCAGATGTTTTTTTTTCATAAATTATTCTTTATTACTAGAGTTCCAAGGCATATTAGTATATCCATAGTTATTTACACCATGTTCTTATAAATAGATATGCATTCTGTTTTGACTTTAGCTATTACAGACTGAATGCAGACAAAGCCCTCAAGTCAAGGCAAAGGGCTTTCTTTTGGGTTCTGTTGCATGCTGTAGGCTGGTACATTTCCCACCACTCCCTGTGGCAGAATTTTTGACCTGGGTGTGCTCAGGAAACTCACTTTAGGTCACTTCTGTTCATTATATAAGGCGGTTTCTTCTGACCTAAATCCTGGAGAGCTTCTGGTCTCACTGTTACCCATAAAACACTACCAGTATGTCTGCGAAAGAAGTGTTAGGAAACTGTTTAGATGCTGGACTGACAGTCAATGTTGTGGAGAAAGCATAAAGCTGCCTTGAGCTTGGTAGGGCTCAAGGAATAATGATGTTGGGAACACTAAGAATCCTAGGGCTGGCTGAACTGTGGTGACTACTGCCACTGTCCTGGGAGCCACGGCTCTAATTATGGGGCCTCTGTGGTTTCCATAGCAACTGTGACCAATTCCTCTCACCATGTATAGGACATACAATTCTGCCACCATAGCTCTATTGGTCACTAAAGAAGCTTTGCTTAGTTATAAATATTTCAGATGGATACAGCCACCAAATCTACTTATTATTTTAGATAAAGTTTAAAAAAAATTGAGCCGGTGGTGGTGACACATGCCTTTAATCCCAGGACTCGGTAGGCAGAGGCAGGCGGATCTCTGAGTTAGAGGAAGGCCTGGTCTACAAGAGCTAGTTCCAGGACAGGCTCCAAAGCCACAAGTCTCGAAAACCAAAAAAAAAAAAAAGTTTTAAAAATTCTATATAAAATTGTTATAATAAACAACTTGAAAAACACTAAAATACTACAAATGAGGGATACGGCAGAGCATTTTGGCTGTGTGAGCATTCTCAGGTCTCCATGAAACCTCACTACAAGAACCCCAACTGCACACCTGCAAGTTGTTGCATGGCTTCCTACTTTTCTTGTTTTTATGGAGCAGAGTTTGCAAATGACACACATATATGTGAACCTGAAATTTATTTTTTCTTGAAGAGATGTAAATAAATCTAGTATTTGAAAAAGTAATGAATCTCTTAGATAGAAAGTAGCTATACCTCCCTGAATGAGCACCTGGAGAGATCCTTCCTAATTCACTCAGAACCGTTACTGACCACAGCTTACATTCCCTTTTAGTTCTCCAGTCTGGGGTATGCCAGAAAAGATGGGAGTGTTCCCTGCAGACCTGCAGAATCCACTCACATGAAACATTCACTTCCGGGATGTTCTAGTTCTATAGTTTCAAAGAATGGTGGAAGAGCTGGAAGCAAAAGCAAGAGAAAACTCCGGTGGGTCTAGGCTCCTGCTATAGATTCTCTTCTGTGAGCACAGCAATGGGGTCTGAGTATCTGCATCACGGCGAGGCTCACGCTTTAGCTGCTGGAACTTGCACTGTGTCCAGCCATATATGCCACAGTTGATCAGACCCTGGGATGCTGCTGTGAGAGCCTGGAAGAGACGAAGAACAGTGGAGCCCAACCCTCTGTGCAGCGTCGTCACTGGAGCTGCTGAACTGTGCACAAGCTCATCTAAACTCTTCACATTGCGTCCTGCTGCGGACAGCTGACGGCTGTTATACTTTTTAGTATTTATGAGGACAAGAAAATGGCTTCAACTGCCAACTGTTCTAAAAAGTTTTCTTCTGATAATGGAGGAAAATGGAAAAGCAAAAAATTCCCTTCCTGCTTATCACTCACTACACACAGGTAATTTGTGCCATTTGATTCACTCTGGATGGGAGAGCATCACCATCAGTGTCTCACAAGAATATATACCCTGGGAGACCTTATTCTACCAACCATATCTTCAATATATCAAAACAAAGTTGCCCAGAGATAAATGTGCTCCAAACTGGACCCAGAAACACTTAGACTAGCCTTTCAGGAAATGGTTATATTCTTCATTAGTAACCATAAACATTAGATGTTCTCTTTTGCAATGCACAAATGAATATACTGAAGGGGGAAAACCTGTGTGCCCTCTAAATGGCAGTGTGAGAGAACCAGGCACAAAGGTGCAAGACAAAAGATTCTGGCTTTGGAAGGGGTTACCTGGAGCACAGAGAAAGCCATGTGCAGGGAGGTATCCTGGGGCTTGGTCAGCTCTATGATCAACAGTGTGGCAGCTGCAAACACACAACGTGTAAACTGCTGTCAGCTCTCAGTGCACACGCCTGCACATCCCGTCAACAGAAGCTACAGGGAACTGAAGATCAGCACTGAGATTAACCAATTATGTAAACCACTGAGACTTTGGCCTTCATTTCTGGTCTGTACTGATTAAAACTTGCAGATTAATGCCAGGTGGACTTGTACATGTCTTTAATCCCAGCATTGAGGCAGAGGCTGTAGGTATACCTCTGGTGAGTTTGAGGCCATTGCCATTGGGGTCTACATAATGAGACCTTGTCTTAAAAAATAAAGCAATAAGAAATAAAATTTACAAGCTAGATAGGAATATGCAGTCATGATTTTAGTGAGATCATTTTGTTTGATGAAACCCATAGCCACCTCCTTCACCTCCAATTCCTTTTACTAAGATACCAACCTGGGCCCCAGCAGCATACAAAGGCCACCGGGAAGAAGCGCACTCGCTGGCCCACAATGTAAATCACTGCCCACTGCTCACTCTCCAGAAAGCCTGTCGATTTCACAAACTTCTTATACAATGACTGGGCATGGATGAGCAAGACCTAAACATGAGTGTAGCAGTGAGTAGTAGGCCTGTGGCTTAGTCAAATTTCCCGGCATCTTAGAAGGCTCACTCTGCAAGGAATGCCTGCCCGGAAAAGTCACTCTCCTTCTTTACCATGAGAGCAGACTTTGGAGAATTACCCAGTGGGAATTTTCATGTAGACAAACAGATACTAACCAAACTTTTAGTTATTATGTTCAGTGTGTGAACATCATCAACCCCTGGCTTTCCCAATCTTAAACAAATCACAATATATATGGGAAGGTGTGTTGTTTTCTTGTGGAGGTGGGAATCAAATCTACAGTTTAATAATAGGCAAGCATTGTACTAATAACTTGCATTCCCATCCAGGAAGTTAAAGTGAGTTCTAACTAATCCATCTCTTAAAATATCTTATTAGTGATTCTTTGAGACTATGTTTTATACTTCATGCCCTGAAGTTTATCAGTACAAAGGCTAATACTAAATTCTCAACTCTGAGTAAAAGAGGAGTTTTAAAAAAATCTCTTCTTGCCGGGCGGTGGTGGTGCACGCCTTTAATCCCAGCACTCGGGAGGCAGAGGCAGGCAGATCTCTGTGAGTTCGAGGCCAATCTGGTCTACAAGAGCTAGTTCCAGGTCAGGCTCCAAAGCTATAGAGAAACCCTGTTTTGAAAAACCAAAAGAGAGAGAGAGAGAGAGAGAGAGAGAGAGAGAGAAGAGAAGAGAAGAGAAGAGAAGGGAGGGAGGGGGGGAGGGAGGGACAGAATATCTCTTCTCAATCAACCAATGGTGGTGCGCACCTTTCACCCCAGCACTTGAAGACAGAGGCAGGAGGATCTCTGAGTTTGAGGCCAGCCTGGTCTATAGAGTGAGTTCCAGGACAGCCAGGACTAAATAAATTGTCTCATAGGTAAAAAAAAAAAAAAAAAAAGAAAGAAAGAAAAAAGAAAAACCCATGCTTTCATTATCTGGGAAATTAAATCAAAGCACAGGTTCTATGTCACAGAATGTCACTTACATAAAGGATACATCATGTCATGTGATCTTTCTACTCTGGGTCCTCATGGGAATCAAAGAAACACATTAATTCTAGAGTGAACATGATTGTCACCTAACTAATATAAGCTTCTTTTCCTGCTTATCATGTAATTTTGGGTAGTCCAAAAAAAACAAAGGCAGTAATTACACTGTCAACAAATCCTTGTCACTTCCTTCCTTTCTTCCTTTTTTTTTTTTTGAAAGAATTTCACATACAGCCCAGACTGGCTATATGAAACTAAGTATGACTTTGAACTTCTGATTCCCATGCTCTCATGCACTCTAGGGAAGTGTTCTACCAGCTGAACTATATCCTCACAGTCATGGTCACTTCCCTGGTGCTGGACCATGGGAAACACCTCTTTTATATATATATATATATAATTTATTTATTATGTATACAATATTCTGTCTGTGTGTATCCCTACAGGCCAGAAGAGGGCACCAGACCTCATTCCAGATGGTTGTAAGCCACCATGTGGTTGCTGGGAATTGAACTCAGGACCTTTGGAAGAGCAGGTAATGCCCTTAACCTCTGAGCCATCTCTCCAGTTCCCGGGAAACACCTCTTGTAGTGTTCCAGTCTTGGTACACTGCCTATCTCTCTGTCCATCCTTTCAGCAGTAACAAACAGGTGGAACCATACCGTGATGAGGAGGAGGCTGAAGAAAAAGCTGGCCAGGAAAACAGTGACGCCATAAAAATAGAGCACACTGCAGACAGATGTGTTGGTGGAAGGCAGGGGTTCAATCATGGCTGATGGAGGCGAGTGCATTAGGAGACACCTGGGAAGAAAACCAATGGGCAGGATGATACAACAATGACAACACAAGAGAAACAAAACCAAACCTGAATGTCAGTGAGGTCACTACTGCTGTGATAAACACATGACCATCAGCAAGCGGGGGATGAAAGGCTTTGTTTGGTCTACTCTTCCATATCTTAGTCCATCACTGAAGTAAGTCAGGGCAGCAGCCTGGAGGCAGCAGCTGATGCAGAGGCCATGGAAAGGTGCTGCTTACCAGCTTGTTCCTCATGGCTTGCTCAGCCTGATTTTTTATAGAACCATGGGCCAACAGCTCAGCGGTGGCCCCACTCACAATTGACTAGTCCCCCCAACATCAATCACTAATGAAGAAAATGTCCTATAGGCTTGCCTGCAGCCCAATCTTATGGAGGCCCTTTCTCAATTGAGGCTCCCTCCAATCTGAGGCCATTAGTTTGTGTCAGGTTGACAGGAAACTACCCAGCACAGTGAGTAATGGGCTCTTACCTATAACTATAACACCCTGTTCCTTCCCACAGATGAAATGCCTTGAGTCACTCTGGACTATCTATTTCCTTGTGTTTCTTCAGCCTGACTACATCATATTATATCTAGAACCCATTTCCAAAACAAGTAATTTTTTTGAGATAGGGTATGATGTAGTCCAGGCTAGCCTCAAACTAGTAAGTAGTTCAGATTGGCTTCAAAACTCTGACCTCCTGTCTCTATCTCCTATGTGCTGAGGTCACAAGTATGCACCACCACACATACTATATGCAGCTCTGGGGATCCAACCCAAGACTTTGGGTAAGCCCAGCAAACATTCTACTGCCTGGGCTAGCTACCTCCACAAGTAAAACAAATGGTTATGGCTAAAGAAGCTCCATTTTATGCTAGGTATTCATTTTAGTACCCACCAGTTTTCTGTTGATGACTCCAGTCCCTGGAAGATAAGTTCCCAGTATAAGAAGGAACCAAACTGAAGCCATTTTGAATAAAAATTCCATCTTGAAAAGCAAAGTGAAATAAAGTTTAAGTTTCCAAGACCTCCCTGGGTAACTGACATCACTAGCATCCTGGCTAGCAAGGTGAGACACGGATGGTGGGCACGCTGCTCCACCACACTTGAGTAGAACAACCAACGAGAACAAGGCAAGTGAACCAAAGAACAGTGTCCCTAGGAAAGTCCCCAATCCTTTCATCCAGGTTGGTGGGAAATATAAGTGCAACTTGGTACAGACATTTGTGGTTTTTCTGTTTAAATACTTGCTGATCACATAGCAGAGACAGTACAAAAAAAAAAAAAGAAAAGAAAAGAAAAGAAAAAGAAAAAAATCAATCATGCCACAAGGACACGTGCTCAACTATGTTCATAGCAGCTTTGTTTGTCATAGCCAGAACCTGGAAACAACCTAAATGTTCCTCAATCGAAGAAGAATGGATAAGGAAAATATGGTACATTTACACAATGGAGTATTACACAGCAGAAAAAAAAACAACAGCTTGAATTTTGCAGGAAAATATGTGGAGCTAGAAAACGTTATTTTTGAGTGAGGTAACCCATACACAGAAAGACAATTATCACATGTACTCACTCATAGGTGGTTTTTAATCATAAAGCAAAGAAAGCCAGCCTACAAACCACAATCCCAGAGAACTTAGACAACAATGTGGACACTAAGAGAGACTTACATAGATCTAATCTACATGGGAAGTAGAAAGTAGAAAAAGACAAGATCTCCTGAGTAAATTGGGAGCATGGGGACCTTGGGGGAGGACTGAAGGGGGAAGGGGGAGGCAGGGAGGGGAACAGAGAAAAACGTAGAGCTCAATAAATATCAATAAAAAAAATAAAATTAAAAACAATACTTGCTGAAATGAATGCTCAGTGACACAGTCAGCTCCCAAGTCTGTACTGCTGGATCTTGCTTTGAATGAGTTCCTGTGTATTTGGGTTGTTTGGGTCTTCTTGGACCCTACCAGTACCCCTGATTCAGTGATAGCTACCCAAAAATATACAACCATTGCTTTGTTGTTGTTGTTTCTGTAACTTACTTATGCAGACACCCAAAGATTGTTCTGAGGTGCTTTAACCACTTAACTTGGCAGAACAAAACATTTTTATTTGCTTACATAGATAGTGAAGGTCTTCATGTGGTTTCCTCTTTAATAATCTTCCCCATAACCCTCCTGCATGGCAACCTAAAATTTGCTTCAGAGATTGTTCACCCTGCTAGCAATTAAACAATACATATTTTAATTATAGTGGGATTGAATCTATGGTCTTTTCCCAGAAGTCATAAACACCAAAGCAAAACATGTTGGCTAGAAAGTATGTAGAACAAATGAAAAGCTGAGTTAGTCCTTGCTTACCTGTGGCTCTGGCTAAAGTTGTGGAAGCATTCATTGACATTGCCCAGACAAAACACAGGTGTCATCAGCAGCAGAGGTAGCAGGCTGATAGGAGAAAATGGATTATGCCATTATCCAGAAATGTTCATGCCCTTCTCCCTTTTGTAAAATAGTCTCTTCTGACTAGATTACCCCACCAACTCCCTATACCTGACCTACATGAAGAAAAACATCTTAAATACCATAGCTATCCTTATTTTATATTTCCCGAAGAACTTCATTGTAAAGTGGACTTTATATCTAACTTGACCTCTTAATAGTTTCTTGAGAATCTTTGGAATTATAGCCAGATAAAAATCTGCTAGGTCAGGCAGTAGTGGAAAGATGTTAAAAGCATTGCCTGCTCTTCCAAAGGTCCTGAGTTCAATTCCCAGCAACCACATGATGGCTCACAATCATCTGTAATAGGGTCTGGTGCCTTCTTCTGGCCTGCAGGCATACACACAGAATATTGTATACATAATAAATAAATAAATATTTTTTTAAAAGAAAACAAATCAGAATCTAAGCGATGTTGGGTGTGGTGGTGCAGGCTTGTAATCTTAGCATGCAGGAAATTGAGGCAGGAGGATCTTGATTTTGAGGCCAGTCTGAGCTACATAGCAAAACTTTGTCACAAAAAAGCAAAACAAAACAAAATTTACATGAAAAAATCTACATGAAAGAAAACAATGGAACTGCCACGAGGTGGTGGTGCACACCTTCAATCCCAGCACTCAGGAGGCAAGGGGCAGGATCTCTGTGAATTTGAGAGGTCAGCCTGGTCTAAAGATTGAGTTCCAGAAGAGCCAGGGCTACACAGAGAAACCGTCTCAAAAAACAAATAAACGGGCTGGAGTGATGGCTCTGTGGTTAAGAGCATTGCCTACTCTTCCAAAGGTCCTGAGTTCAATTCCCAGCAACCACATGGTGGCTCACAACCATCTGTAAAGAGGTCTGGCGCCCTCTTCTGGCCTTCAGGCTTACACACATTCAGAATATTGTATACATAATAAATAAATAAATATTAAAAAAAACAATCACAAAAACAAACAAACAAAACTATGGAACAGCTCTACATGGTCTCCTTCACTCTGCAGTGGCCAGATTAATTCCTGTCCTTACCCTTCCTGTGTGCTTACTCTTTAAACAGACAATTGTTTATCCACTTAAAATACAGCCACTGACCTAGAAGGGATTTGGGAGCAAAGTTATAAAGTCTAAAACCAATGTGATCACTTCTTTGTGTGGATCTGGATTCTTTCTGGACTAGGATTCTCACACAAAGGTGGACTGATCTTGAGAGCTGGGCTCAGCAGGTAAAGCTTGAGGACTGGAGTGGGGTACAGTGGGATGCCCAGGACCCACATAAAAAACTGATAGCTCTTGAGGTCAGCCTGTTGTCCAGCATACTGGAAACAGAGATGTGAATCACCAGGATAAGGTAGCTTGGTCCGACGAGCAGGTATGCTAAGTTCTGGGTTCCATGAGAAACTCTCTTGGTGTATAAGAGAGAGTGATAAATGAAAGGAGCTGACATCAAGCTTCCTTCATACGCAAGCATAGAAAGTATTCACCCGAAACATAAGCATATATATACTCACATATATACAAATGCAAGAAAGAGGTTTGCTCAAAGCCACAAAGAATTGGTGTTATAGAGTTGGAGCTAAAACCCAGCTCTCTAATATCAAACTAGGGAAAGGAAGAAAGTAATCAATAATTATGTTTGTTGCTTCCTATCATTTAATGCTCTATAAAGACACAGGAGTGACAGTGGAAATGAAGAGTAACAGGCATTCGTTCCTTACCAGCAAGAAAAAAATCTTACCTTGACAAAATGAACACTATGTGACTACTTTGACAAGTATGTTTTATCACCTATGAAAAGATGAGAAGTGAAAAATGTTAGGACCAGTGCCAAAGTCACCAGTAAACATTCACACACATTTCCAGTAGCCCCCTTGCTTTGTCAGTCATATTGTTTATAGAACCCACCAAAGTCAGTTCCCTTAATATAGATAAAACATGACAGTGTATAGATAAAACACGCCTTTAATCCCAGCACTTGGGAGGCAGAGGCAGGCAGATCTCTGTGAGTTCGAGACCAGCCTGGTCTACAAGAGCTAGTTCCAGGACAGGCTCCAAAAGCACAGAGAAACCCTGTCTCGAAAAACCAAAAATAAATAAATAAAATAAAAAGAAACAACAATAATAAACCCAAAAGACTACAGAAAGTAATTTAATCCAAAGCCCGAGTGCTGAAACAAATTCTTTTAGGGATAAAGGCATATTTGAAGTCATAGGATGTTTTTTTCTTTTAGCCCCAGAAAGGCACAGATGAATAAAGCCATGTATAAGTTGACCAGCACAAAGTATTAATTGGCCAGTATTGACATGAGAGAGTCAGAGAAGCCCTTGGATATAAGACTATGCTAGAGTACGGAACATTTAAAATCTGGAGACTTAGGAGACAGTTCAGTAGATAAAGTGGTTTTTGAGCAAGCATAGGAACCTAAGTTCATATCCCTAGCACCCACACAAGAAACCAGGCATAAGCAGCACTTGTCAGCAACCCTAACACTGTAGAGGAGGCAAGGGAAGACAGACAGACCCTAGGGGCTTCACAGGCCAATCAGACTAGCACAAATGGCAAATACAAGGTTCAGTAAGAAATATCTCAAAAACAAAAAAAGTGGAGAACGTTAAGTGGTGGTGGCACGCACCTTTAATCCCAGCACTCAGTAGGCAGAGGTAGGCCAGATCTCTGTGAATTCAAGGCCAGCCTTGTCTACAGAGCAAGTTCCAGGATAGCCAAGACTGTTACATAGAGGAACCTTGTCTTGAAAAACAAAACAAAACAAAGAAGGTGAAGATCAACAGAGGAAAGCAGCTGGTGTTGACTACTGATCTCTACACACTGATGCACAGGCACACGCACTACACACACAGACACACACACTACACACACACTACACACACACTACACATACACCACACACAGAGTGTACTGCATTACACAGGGTGATGGAATATGTATTTATCATAGAGAAGTCTTGGGTTCAAATCCATAACACTCCCAGACAGACAGATGAATACTCCCCACTTGCATCAGAGCCTAAACAATTTGAAGCAGCATAACTGCTATCATGATAAGCATAACTTGGTATCATGATGGAAAGTTCATGGCCTATGGGGTTTGCTTTTCACACTTGGCCAGTGGAGCCCCAGCTCAAGCCCAGGGCTTTGAGTGAAGTCGTGGGCAAAGCTCTGGGAGCTGCTGTGCTTTGAGGCACTCATCGCCCAAAGAGAAGAAAACAAACTCCCAGCTCTTTGCTTCCCTACAAACAAGCATAGAAAGGGGTAAGTAGCCACAGGCCCTTCCTAACTGGAGAGATCATGCAAGGTTAAGGTGCAGAAGACACCTATGCCTGTGGAATGCCCAGAGTGGGCAAGATTAAATGGCAGAAGAGAGAGTGGAGTTTTTGTTGTACACAGCAGCTACTATCCGCATATAGCTACTTACAGTAAAACTAAGTAAAATGAAAATATCAACTCCTGTCATGCATGATGGCATATGCCTCCAAAACCAGAATTTGAAAGGCAGAGGCAGTAGGATGGCTGCAAGTTAGAAGCCAGCCTAAAGTACATGGCAAGTTCTAATACTGCCCCAACCAGGGCTAGAGAGTAAGAGACTCTGGTTCAAAGCCTGAGTTCTCCAGTCAGTTCCTTCATTTTGCAGTTACATGACAAGCGCTCAGTGGCCACTGCGGCCAGTAACTATGGATACAAACACACTTGCTACCAGGTGTGGTGGCTACTCTGTTAGTCCCAGCACTTGGAGGGCAAAGGCAAGCAGCTCCCTGTGAGTTCAAGGCCAGCCTGGTCTATATAGTAAAATCCTGCCTCCAAGAAGTTTCATTGAATGCTTTTGTAAAGACTGTAGTATCTTGTTTATGATGCTGCTTATGGGTACTTTTCATGTTTCATTTTCATTTATTTTTTTTTACCATGTTCTCTGGGAAGTGGGGACCAGAGGGAAAAAAGAGAGAACATTATTTGTTCCTACCCTTTCTTACCAGTGACTGTCTTGAACAAAGCTTAAAAAAAGGAAAAGCCGGGTGTGGTGGTGCATGCAGAGGCAGGTAGATCACTGTGAATTCAAGGCAACCCTAGTCTACAAGAGCGAGTTCTAGGACAGTCTCCAAAGCTACAAAAAAAGAAAAAAAGAGCCGGGTGGTGGTGGCACACGCCTTTAATCCCAGCACTCGGGAGGCAGAGGCAGGCGGATCTCTGGGAGTTCGAGACCAGCCTGGTCTACAAGAGCTAGTTCCGGGACAGGCACCAAAGCTACAGAGAAACCCTGTCTCGAAAAACCAAAAAAAAAGAAAAAAGAAAAAAAGAAAACAGAAGGAAAGAAAGAAAGAAAGAAAAAAAAGAAAGAAAAAAAGAAAGAAAGAAAGAAAGGGGAAGAAATGACATTTTCACGATCCCAGCATTTTGGTGTTGAAGAGGCAGCATGGATTATAGAGATTAATACTAAACTTTACGATGAAAACTTGATGCCTGTCTTGGCTACATACTGAGCTGTGGGCCAGCATGGGCTACATAGCAAGAGCCTTTTCAACAAGCAAAACATGAGAGATATAAATCAGACAGTGACCCAGCCAGGCAGTAGTGGCATGCTCCTTTAATTCCAGCACTCAGGAAGCAAAGGCGGGTGGATGGATCTCTGTAAATTCAGGGCCAACCTGGTCTACAAGAGTGAGTTCCGGGACAGGCTCCAAAGTTATACAGAGAAACCCTGTCTCAAACAAAACAAAACAAAACAACAACAAAAAACCAGACAAGTGACCCAGAACAATGCATATACATCATTTTGTGAAAACAAAATATATAGAAATTGGAAGCAATCTTCTAAAATTAATATCCACCATAAATATTGAACTCAATATTTGAATATTAGTTGATAATGAATAATGTTTGTGGGACTAGGGAGATTTCTCAGTGAATAAGAACATTGACTACTCTTCCGGAGGACCCTGGTTAAATTTCCAGCACCCACATGGCAGCTCCCAACTATAACTCCAGTTCCAGGGGATCAACACCCTTGTACAGTTAGACATGCAAGCAAAACACCAATGTACATGAATACAAAAAAGAATAATGTTTGTTATCTGGGTCAGTTGGAGACAGTGACTTCATCCCTTGTAAAGTCCTATTAAAGATCCTGTAACATTCTCACCCTGCCTCCTTAGATGATACTTCTGTGCTGTTCGCTAAGAAGACATGGAAAGCCCTAATGGAGGGACAGACAGACACAGGGGCAGAGTTACAAGACAGCCTCAGGCAGGCCCAAATTCAGACACACAACAGGCAGGACAGAAGGCACAGAAATCGTGAAGTAGAGAATTCAAATCTGGACTCACTCTTGTTCAAATGACTCCAAAGGGAAGTGCTTTTGTTTCTACCCTTAATGCAACACTGATGCGTTGCTGATGACTCTGAGTCAATCACTAACACATTTCATCCACACGCTCTTCCACTTACTCAAACAACAAACAGTCACTGGGCTACTCCCTGTGTCCACTGAGAAGCAATCTGCAGGTCCTAGGGAAGGGTGGGGCAGCTTTCCAGACTGTTTATCATCCTCCTAACAGAATTTTACTTTAAAAAAACATAAAGTGATAAATATTACAGAAGTTAAGGTTAGAATATTTAGTAAGATGTGTAAGATGAAAACAGGCCTGTGTCCTGTAGCACAGTTGGTGGAGTGTTTCCTAGCATTCTAGAGGTCCTGGGTCTAATCCCAGCACCACATAAACTGGGTTTAGTGGTCCACACCAAGAATCCCAGCATTTAGGAAGTAGAAGACAGAAGATCAGAAGTTCAAGATCATCTTCGATTATGTAATCTGAGATAGCCTGGGCTACATGGGACCCTTTTTCAAAAACAAACAAACAACAATAACAAAAATATTAAGTCTAATGTGATAGTGCACGCTTTTAACCCCAGTACTTGGGAGGCAGAGGCAGGTGGATCTTTTGAGTTCAAAGCCAACATAGTCTACAGAATGAATTCCAGGACAGCCAGGGCTATACAGAGAAACCCTGTCTCGGAAAAAAAAAAAAAAAAAACAAAACAAACAAAAAATGTAAAGACATTTAGAAATAAAGACTGAGAAATCACTAATATATTACCCATCAGAATCAGTGATGTTCTCAAAGCATCAGAAACAAGAAACTCACTGGTCTATGAGCACACATACATAACTCCAGCACTTGGGAGGTACAGGCACAAGGGCCAGAAGTTGAAAGCCAGCTGCAGCTGGTTCAAAGCCAGCCTAAGCGCCTAAGCTACGTGGAACACAGTCTCAAAAAGAAAAAACAGCAACAAAAAAACCCTACTAGAGTAAAAAAGTAAGACACTCAGGGGCTGGAGAGATGGCTCAGAGGCTCTTCCAGAAGTCCTGAGTTCAATTCCGAGCAACCACATGGTGCCTCACAACCATCTATAATGAGATCTGGTGCCCTCTTCTGCCCTGCAGTGATACATGCAGACAGAACACTGTATACATAATAAACAAACAAATCTTTTTTAAAAAGAGTAAGACACTCAGTTTACTACACAATGAAGTGCTACTTATTCGGCAGTAAAAAGACTGAGTGGTTTGCACATGTGGAAACGATGACCTTTACAGCACTGTGCTGCTCTTTGCTTTCTCCGTCCTTTGCTCTCCTTCCCACTCCTTGTACTCACTCTCCAGTCTACTACTTTCCCTGCTCTGGACTCTTCCAGTTGCCTTTGGCTGTTCTCTCCCTCATACCTATAATAAAATCTTTACCTTCAACCATAGTAAAAATAATATAAAAATAACTAAAAGCACTGTTATAAATGAAAGCAAACATACATATACATGCACACACATACAGTATTATTGTTACATGAAGTATCCTGAAAAGCAGGTCTATAGAAAGGCACATACAGCCAGGTGGTGGTGGTGCACGCCTTTAATTCCAGCACTCGGGAGGCAGAAACAGGAGAATCTCTGTGAGTTCGAGGCCAGCCTGGTCTACAGAGCAAGTTCCAGGAATAAAGAAGAAAGGCACATATATTTGAACACGTAGAGCAGAGAGTGTAAAGGACTTAATGGTAAATAGCACGAGAGATACCATTGGGGAAAGAAAACATCCTGAAATGATATGCTGATTACACAACTTGAGAGATTACTAAAATGTGGATCCAAATACTCAGAAGGGATGGACTGTGTGCTGTGTGGAATACACGCACGCACACACACACACACACACACACACACACACACACACACACACACACTAAGAACCCAGAAACACTGTGGGTTTGGCATTCTATCTTTTACTGTAATACTGTGCAGTGAAAAGTGTTCTCTGGATGCTTCCTGGCTTCTGACTGTCACATAAGCAACCTTTTGCCCTTCTGCAAAACAAAAGCTCCCACTTATACTGAAGTACAGCAGAGAACATTCTCCCTTGACACCTGTCACTCTAAAACTCATGTCAGCAGACATAGCACCTTCCCTAACTCTTCTTCATGGCCTGTATTTTACTGACAGTGATGGGTGACATGGAGCCAACGCTTTCCCTTTGGCTGAATCAAGCTAAGCAAGAATGGCAGTAGCATCAACAATGTTCCTACATTAAAACATATTGTGTGACAGGAGCAGTGGTGATACAGGCCTTTAATTCCAGCACTCAGGAGGCAGAGACAGGCAGATAGATCTCTGTGAGTTCAAGACCAGCCTGGTCTACAGAGCAAGTTCCATAACAGCCAGAGCTACACAGAGAAACCTTGAATTAAAAACAAAACAGCAACCAACCAAACAAACCTTTTATGTGTCAAAGGAGGAGAGGAAGTGATAAAAACAGATGGAAACTATGAGAACATTATTCCCATCTGCTTCCACACACTCACTCAGTCAGTGCTAAGCGCTTGCATGACTTCCTGAGAACCTCCAGGAGTCCATCTCTGCTTACCTGAGCAGTTGTGCTCCGTCCACTCTGGCTGTCTCTCATCCTCAGCTCTGTGTACAGATACCAGATGTAACTGACGGTGCAGAAGAGTGAGGCAATGAACAGTATCTAGGTGAAAGTCAAGACAGCCCATCAAATTTGCCCCATTCCTATTTTCTTTTTTTTTTTCTTTTTGGTTTTTCGAGACAGGGTTTCTCTGTGGTTTTGGAGCCTGTCCTGGAACTAGCTCTTGTAGACCAGGCTGGTCTCGAACTCCCAGAGATCCGCCTGCCTCTGCCTCCCGAGTGCTGGGATTAAAGGCGTGCGCCACCACCGCCCGGCTTCCCCATTCCTATTTTCTTAAATTTACTCCATTATTCTCAAGATAAGATCTAACTTACCTAAACCATCCATCTTCATCTTACCCTTTAGACTGCTCAGAACCACAGATATCCACCTCCTCTACCTAACCGATCCACTTTTCTGAAGATTTTTCTATTATATTTTTAATTTATCATCATCATCATCATTGTGTGTGTATGTGCATCACAGCTCATATGTGGTCAGAGGACAGCTGTGGGTTAGGTTCTCTCCCTTTCCCCTTGACTTGGGTTCTAGGGATGGAACTACTCAGGTCACCAGGTTTATGTGGAAAATGCTTTCACCTTCTGAACCATTTCATGGGCTCTGTGCTCTTTTTGAAATAGAAAAGGTAGTTAGAATTTCAACTTTCAATAATAGTTAATATATTATTCCTTTTTCATTACTGTAACAAAAGATTAGAGGCAGGTTACTTTTGAGAGAGAGAGGATATTGGCTCAAAGTTCTGGAGGTACAGGGTTTAGGGGTCTCATCTTGTGATGCTGTCTTGATGTTAGAATCCTGGGGTGGTGTTGATGACCTCAGCAGAGGATGAAGAACATGTATGCTTATCTGTACCTGTGTGTCTTTCATGATAAAGCCCCCAGAACCAACTCATGTGCTTTAATAGTCTTACAGTTCTCATCATCGCCTGAAGATCCCCTCTAAACAGAAGAGCAAGTCTCCAACCTTCCAATGCCGTGCTTATGAATGTACGTATGTAACATGGAAAAGTCAGTGTCTGTGCGTGTGTTCACACATACATATCTGCAAGATTTGAGTAATTAAAACTCTACGCAAATTTTATGTGGACAAAATGTATTCAAGACACAGAAATGGCCTATGTTATTTTAACTAAACCTTTCATTCAAAACTTGAACTACACAGGCAAGATCATTTTAAAAAGAAAAAAGGGACCTCAGGTATCCCATTCTGGACTTGAACTTTTTATGTAATCAAAAATGGTCCTTTATTTGATTTTCTTGAGGAAGGGTATCTCTATGTAGTTCTGGCTGTTCTAAAGCTCACTATATAGACCAGGTAGGCCTCTTGATTTCACACAGATCCTCCTGCCTCTGCCTCTTAAGGGCTGGGATTAAAGATGTGGTTTTCACATCTTTAATGATCTTCAAAAATGATCTTAAAACTCTTGATTCTCTTGCCTCCACCTCTCAGGTTTATGGAGTGTTGTGACTGAAGCCAGGGCATCAGACATACAAAAGCAAGTGTTCTATCAATTGATGCGTCCCCAGCACTGATGTTTAAAAGAGCTTTCAGAAAAGCAGGTGCTAGACGTGCTCACCAGGGAAAGTATTTACTGCCAACCCTGGTACTGGAGCTGAATTTGATCCACAGGACCCATAAAGCAGAGAGAATAGATTCCTGAAATTGTTCTATGATCTCTCTACACACACACACACACACACACACACACACACACACACACACACACACACACAATCTGTGTATTGCCACATGGCTGTGGCTTACTGGCTAAAGTTCTGACCAGCATCTGTCTCCCGTGGTTCTATGTTGTCTCTCTGACTCCGCTATTCTTTCTCCCAGCATTCAGTCCAGTCCTCCCCACCTACCTAAGTTCTGCCCTATCAACAGGCCAAGGAAGTTTCTTTATTCACTAATGGTAATCACAGCACACAGAAGGGACTACCACATCACTTTCCCTTTTCTGTTTAAATAAAAAGAAAGGCTTTAACTTTAACATAGTAAAATTACATATAACAAAACAGTTATCAAGCAAGAATTACAGTTACAATGTTTATATCTACTTTATCTGTTGTCATAACTAAGGAAAACTATAACTATAACTTCTTCAACTTCATCAAAGACTCCAGAAGGGCACAATATTACCTAAGTAAACTGGAAGTACATTGTAAGCAACTTCCAAAACTCTAGAATTGACAGAGACATCTCGCTGCCTGGACAGTCACCCAAAGTTATTTTGTAACATTGGGGCATCCATCTTCAGCCTACAGGCCTCTAGTATCCAGCAGACTTTTTCACGAAGCAGAAAGTTTCAAAGACTGTTCCACCTATACTGGCAGTTTGTTTGTCACATTTTTCTGTGTCCTGCAGAATATCTAGCAGACTCTTTCATGAAGCAGGAACCCCAAAGGATCATCTCACGTTTAGGAAAGTTTAGCAGTCATTTCTCTGTGGGTCTTGCATGTACAGTTAAGCACTTCAGACAAGAGAAGTTTCTTGCCCAAATGGCTAAGAAGCCTCTTTGATGCCCATCTTCCTCTAGAAGTAATTGGTACTGCCAGGAGCAGACGTGTCTCATTGTCATAAAAAGTCCTAATTTATTAAAACATTTTAAATGCCATATTCTGAAGGTCTCTGAATTATTTGAAGAACACCTATTTAACTGAAATGCATCTCTGTACATCTAGAAAATCTAACTAACATGAATATAAGCTTGACTATTATAGATGATTATCTATTAACTAATATTACTTAATTATACCTTACATTTTTAAATGAGCTACACAAACACAATACCTTAATCAAGAACAGAAATACATATACATATAACAAAACTGACCTTAAATAATAATCAATAAACCAAGATCCATACCAATGCAAATTATTCATATCATATCTCCCTTTAATGTAAACAAACATTTATAGACAATATGGGGATATGGGCATAATTTTTTTCTCTCCAAACTGCTTCCTGCTATTTTTTGGGTAAAGTAATTTTTTGAGGGCATTTTTGAGGTGTTCATGGCAACCTTTTAGGGCATCTTGGTCCATCAAACCATATTAGCCTGGAATGAATCCACAGGTTCTCATTCTCTGTGGAGACAAAAGAAAAACCTCTTTTCCAAAGCACCATATCCTTAGACCCAAATTCTTAAGTCAAGATACCTTTATAATATACATTCTGGTTTAGCTTAGCAGCCCATACAATGAAATGTCTCTCTGTACTTGGCTCCTTCACAGTCAAAAATTTCAAAGAAAACACAATATACATAATGCAGACTCTCTGTATATAGTCCATCTTTACGTGGCTTATTTTTCTTTACTCCCTTTAATCTATGACAGTCTTTACTCTGTCTCTGTCTCTCTTTGGTTGTTTGAGATAGGCTTTATTTGTAGCTTTGGAGCCTGTCCTGGAACTAGCTCTTGTACACCAGGCTGGTCTCTAACCCACAGAGATCTGCCTGCCTCTGCCTCCCAAGTGCTGGGATTAAAGGCGTGCGCCACCACCACCCGGCTTGTACTCGGTCTCTTTAAAGACTTTTTTTTTTCTTTATGGTACCTGGAGGGACAGCTGTGGGGGCTGGAAACCAAGCTCTTATATTTTTGGTTGTGTGTCTCGCCTTTAATGGCTGAACCACCCCTCCAGGCCTAAAGACTTTTTTTTAAAAAACAATTTACTTCTTTCCAACTCTCTGTACTTTTTCTTCTCTTTCCCAAACCTATGTACATCTATCCAACACTTTTTTTTTTTTTGGTTTTTCGAGACAGGGTTTCTCTGTAGCTTTGGAGCCTGTCCTGGCACTAGCTCTTGTAGACCAGGCTGGTCTCGAACTCCCAGAGATCCGCCTGCCTCTGCCTCCCGAGTGCTGGGATTAAAGGCGTGCGCCACCACCGCCCGGCTTATCCAACACTTTTATACATCCTTTTTATCTGGATTTTTCTTTATTGCATTTCTATAATTATTTACTGTCCAGGAGTGCTTTTTATAATGCTAAGCACTTCTTAAAACTTAAGCTGTGCCATTACTATGACATATATGGTACTTCCTGCTCCCTCAGCACAGTCCAGCATGGTGGAGCTGCTCACCACCTCTGAGACATGCACAGTGCCCCATCTCTAGGCACACAACCTGTCCATGCCGTCATTAAGAAAGCTGCAGCAGTCTGCTTACAAGCCCATCTCCCAAAAGAGTCAGAAGTTGTGCTGGCAGCGTAGCCCAGAAAGCTGGCATTTTAAAATGGCTGTGGCGTTTTTTCTGCTATGGCTGAATCAGGAAAATCTCTCTTAAAGGAGCTGCGACATGCCGCCAGCAAACAGCAAGAAGCTGTGTTAAACTCTGTATTTTTGTGTCTAGAATTCCTTTTCAAACTCTCTCAGGTTTTAAGTGGATTTAGCTGGCCACGTGAGCTTTGGTTCAGTTCCCAGCACCCGCAGCAGACTACTCAAAACTGCCTGTAGCTCCAGCTCTAAGGAGTTCTGATACCCTCTTCTGGACTGCATAAGCACCCTCATGCATGTGTACATAGACACATATTCATAAATAAAATAAAATGCATAGTTTTCCTTTAAAGGAACCAAAGAGCTAATTCATACAATAAAAAAGAAACCACATAATATCATGTAAGGGATGAATTCCTGCTCCTACACAGTTATGGTAACAGGATTTACTCTTCATCCTCATGTAAGCAAAAGCTGGAGCTGGGCAGACAGTTCACTGTATGAAACACTTACCACACCAATGAGGGAAATTCAAATCCCCAGCACCCACAGATAAAAGTCAGGCATAGGCCAGAAAGATGGTTCAGCAGACAGAGGCACTGGTTGCCAAGCTTGAAAATCTGAGTTCAATCCTTGAATCCTTGGGATTCTCCCTCCTGCCCCCCCTCTCTCATACACACACACACACACACACACACACACACACACACTATATATATATATATAAATATATATAATTGTGCATATATATGTATATAATTTTTATAATTATATACATATATTTATAATTGTATAAATAGAAGTATTTAGTATATACAGTTATATAT